GAATCGTTTCGTGGGTTTGGATGCACGTAGGGGATTTGTGAACAGTCAATTATCCGGTGATATGAGCATTGGCTCTATGTGAGATGTGATCAGTGACCTGTTATAGAATGGCTAGTTACATGACCTTGTTTCTTGGCTAGGTATGATTCCTTGTGATATGTAGGCTAGTTGTGTTTCTTTTCATACATAGATCAGGGTTAATATTTAATTGTCTATAATTTGAGATATATGGTATATACATGAGGGTTTCCTTGTTTGGATTATTTCGCTCGACGTACTACGTCTCTTGTTGTAGATTTTTAAGTATTAATTCCATCTAGAGTATGACCTTGTGCTTGGATGATTATTCTGATCGCTAGCTGCATGATCGACTTGTTACTTGGTTGATTTCCTTGGATTTATTATGATTATTCTACTCTAGTAGTATATTATATTTAGATTATTAGTATTTCAGTTGCATGTTTCCATTGTTATTTATTTAGATTATTACTATTATTGTTATTACCATTATTGCATTGGTCGCACGATCGTTCTATTCTTCCTTTTGGGATCCTGCCGTGTGCCATACATGCTGACGTACACCTGTTTCCTCTGGTGTACGTCAGATTTAGATGATGGACAGCTTCAGTTCGGAGTCGTACAGGCGCCAGAAAATTCTCCGCAGGAGTGCTCTGCAGACCGAGCAGAAAAAGCCGAAGCTTAGTTATTGGTCCTCCATTTTCTTTTGTAGCACCTTCCATTCTGTTGATCGGTGTATTTTATATTTTCTAGCATTTCTTTCAGATAGTCTTGTATAAGGGCATGTTGACCCGAATATTATGCCTAGGATGATATTCAGTTGTGATATGTATATTTTCTATTCTGAGTTGTTTATTATATTCTCACTACTGTGATCGGAGTCAACGAGTCATCCAACCAAGGGCATACTCGGACAAATCACGATCGAATCAAGATTGGTTTCGGACTCGAACTCAGAAGTGGACTTACTGCCTAATCGGGATCCGGATTTACTGCCAAATCAGGTCAACAAATCGAATCCGAACCTATCAAACCGCAGAACCGAAAAACGGACATAAAGAGGCAAAACGACAAACACCTGGAGGTCGGCTCACCGAGCCACCAAGGAGGCTCAGTGGCCGAGCCACCAAGTGGTGGCTCGGCCGAGCCACCTAGGTGCCGGGCATAAAGAGGCAAAACGACAAACCCCTGGAGGTCGGCTCACTGAGCCACCAAGGAGGCTCAGTGGCCGAGCCACCAAGTGGTGGCTCGGCCGAGCCACCTAGGTGCC